AATTCAAGTGTCCTCGGACAATGCATTTTGGCTCGATGGACAGGCATGGTCTGGGCCCGATTTATTTTTTGAATTATGAGGCAGGGGTAAATAGTTCTCTTGGTCCCGTACAACCCTTCTAGTCCTGATGAGTTTTTAGGTATATTTCTAATCATTGGCAAGCTTGGTAGAGGTTTTTAGGCCTGATGCCTTACCTAGCCTAGCCCACCTACGCTCAACTTCCCTTTTCTACACGAGCTCGGCCCAAACCCATCCAGGTTTGTTAATAAATGAGGTCTACCTCAAAGTTAGGTGCAAATAGTAGAACCCTGGTAATTGGAATAGATACTCTGCCAATGTGTTTGTGTTTCAAAGCACGTTCTCGCAAAAGTGTTTGCTAATTGCTCCAGCTAAATCATGTGACTTGTATATATTGACAGCTTCCTGTACTTGTTTCAGAAGGATAAATCATAAACATTCACAGATACTGGGAAATGGAGAAATGTGAATTAATAGCTTTAGTAAATTACTCTCCCATTTGCTTGCTGGTGTTTTGGCTGTCCATGCTATTCTCTCTTTAGCATAATTTTCTCGTAGTCCGATTTCAGTCCTTCAAATAATTGCACGCCAAATGGGTGATACGGAGTTCTCTTTTGAAGGCGCATCTAATGCTGCTAGCATTGTGGGTTATTCTTGAGCATTACTTCCCTTGTGCTGGCATTATGACAGGTTAAAACGGTTATTATTTGCCTACGAGCTCCCTCTAGTATTTGGAGCAGCTTGCTTTAACTTGTTTCTACCTTAAGAGGTTGAGCTGATCTAGGAGTACACTTCCTGTCTTATTAGTTGAGGTTACTTGGGAGTTATCATTCTTGTGCAATATGTTTTCTTGCTGATCTTAAGGAAAAAATGTAGTTTTTACGTCATTTACATTTTGATGCAATGAAAAATGTATTTAGTTGTTTGTAGGGCCATCTTTTCTCTCTGCAGTAATTGATGCTTCTATTGTTGCTATGGCAGGTATACCTCAAAGATGCTTTTGGCTGCAATTGACGAGCGCCACCGAGGAACTTATGATTTCCTTTATCTACCAATCGACTTCAAGGCAAGCACTTTACTCTTGAACATGTCTTATAACATGCACAGGCCTTGGTTTGAGGAATAATTTGACATAGTGCACATTTTACTTCATTGTTTGTTGATGATACAATTGTTTGATCTAAACATCTTTTGCAGAACAAGTGCAATGTAGGATATGCTTTCATCAATATGACCGAGCCAGGTCAAATCGTCACCTTTTATAAGGTTTGTTGTTGTGAGCTTAATAATTTTCAGAAGAATGAATGACAATGTACCTTAAAGGTGTATCTATATCTGCCAGGCGTTTAATGGGAAAAAGTGGGAAAAGTTCAACAGCGAGAAGGTTGCTTCTCTTGCATATGCCCGTATACAAGGCAAAGCTGCTCTCATTGCACATTTTCAAAATTCAAGCTTGATGAATGAGGATAAACGATGCCGGCCTATCCTCTTCAACACTGAAGGGCCTAATGCTGGTGATCAGGTACTGACAGGATAATCTAACACATGATTAATTACTCTGCCGGTTCACGATGGTGTTGAAAATTTAACCCAAACTCGATATTTCAGCCTTTAATCCCATCCCTGAATTAGCCAATACACTAAAACCCGGAGAGGATTCTGTGAGCAGCAGTGATAATGAGATTTGGGATAATATACAACAATCGAAAGTTAAAAAGGAAATAAGTAACTGATGCACAAGAACATAACCAACAAGAGAAAAAAAAACGCAAGAAAACAGTTTCATTCCCTATGGGAATACTCAAATTTGCAGGTTCCCTTTCCGGTGGGTTCTAATGTCCGTACTAGACCTGGAAGAGCTCGAAGCAGCACTCTTGAGGAGAGCCATCAGGGAAGTCCACCCACATTGTCAAATGGAGTAGAATTTGGTAACGGGGACTCATCTATAAGTCTCGGAAAAGATTCAGATTAAGCAAAGCCACTTATCTTTTCAAGGTGCTAACCTCATAACTGAGTAAGTTATGGTCACTTCCACCCCGCAACCTTTTACATGTGTTGGGGTCAGATGGAGAAGGAGAAGAAGAATTGAACTGTTTAAAAATATATCGGTTCGTTTTAGAAGCCTTGGAAATTTAGAGAAGAAAGCCAGACGACATGAGGTGGTTTTGACTTTTCTTCGGCATAATTAGTAACTACAATGCTGTGGGAGAAGGGAGAAGGGAGAAACAGCAGGCTGTGGAGCTTCCTAATTTTGGTGATTGTCCATTTTCTTTATGTACAGGAGTTGCCTGAGCGATGGCGAAAATTTTGAGGCGGTTTAAGGAGGCTTCTGTGTTTCACTTAAATGCCTCCCTTCTTGGATTATTTCTTTTCCTTGAGTTTCAAGTCGCACTTGCCTTGTGGCGCTAGAGAAACATGTAATTCCTCAGAGATAAAAGGGTCACAGAGGGCCCTGTGAAAAAATTTTGATTTGATTTTGACTGACCTAATGATTGGTCTGAATGACCGTAGAGAGATGTTTGGATCTGCTTCCACAAGCTATCATCTACTTTACGAATGTGGAAGTTTATCTTTGTTATCCTATCTACACATATGTGGGTGTCTTCGTGCCCTTTTGACTCCAAAGCACGCATACCAGGAACCCGCAGAATCCTGATCTCGCAGAATGTTTCGTCCAACGTCTTCTGTAAATGGCACTCTCTGAGCGACCTAATACGTGATGGTGGATAAAGAGACTATTTCGAGACTGCCTTTTCTTCCGATTCACCTGTGAAGTTTTATAGAATTTTTTTAGGCCAATCGATGTAGATATGGCGCTCTTGTATATTTCTCTTTTCTTTGTCATATGCCTCCCGACAGATCCTCCTTGAGTTGGCTGGGATCCCGCCATTTGCAATGACGGTCGGGCACTTTTTCACTTGATTTTTAGAGAGAACATGAAGCCTCGGCCTTTGGACGTATGATGGGGAAGTTGCATAGCGCAAGTAGTCAATTTGATGGAGATTTGATTCACCTAACATTTATTTCAACTCCCTTCCCTACCATATACATGGTCTAAATCTAGCCCGCATATGAAACAAAGAATTGACAGACAGACCCTAACGGTGCATTTATTTTGCAAAAAACTTAATGATAAAAGAAAATGTTTTCCGAAATTTTTTTTTTCAGGAAAACGCTTAGTTTTCCTTTGTTTGGTGAGACACGATGAAAATCATTTTCTAATGTTTGGATTTCATTAGAAAATGATTTCAATCATATGACTTTATTTCAGGCAAAAAAATTTATTTTTATTTTTTTAAAAAAAATCGAATTTTTAATTTTTTTAATTTCTCTTTTTATTTTTTCTTTTCTTTTATTGAAAAAATTGGAATTTTAATTATTTTTAATTTTTCTTTTATTTTCTTTTTCCACCTTCCTCCCCCACGACCTGCCGACGATGGCCACAGGCGAGTTCGAGCTCGCCGGCCTCGCCCGAGCTGCAAGCTCGCTTGGATCGGCCGAGCTCGGGCTCATCGCCAAATGCCGCCGTGAGCTCGCCGATTGTCGCCGTGGCCGGCAAACGGCCTGAGGAAGAAGAAAAAGAAAAAAGAAAAGAAAAGAAAAGAATAAATAATAAATAATTAGATTTTTTTAAAAAAAATATAATAAATGATTTTTAAAAATAAATAAATAAAAATTCGATTTTTTTAATTAAATATTTTTATAAAAACAATCGTTTCATTAATTAAGGACAAGAGCTCAAGCGCCAAGGACTTGCGCACGGCCTTTGTGAATTCGAGCCAGAGGGTCGGGACTAGAGCTTGAGTATTGGGGACCTGAGCATGGCCTTTATGGACCTGAGTTCGGGTGTCAGAGCATTAGGTATGGGCACCAAGGGTTCAAGCTTAGCCTTGATAGACTCGAGCATGGGTGCTGGGGGCCTGGGCCTTGGACACCGAGGTCTCGAGCCCGGCTGCCGAGACCTGGTCCTCAATGTTAGGACTCAGGAACCAATGTTGGGGTTTTCGTGCTCAAGCGTAAAGTTTTGGAACCAAGTGTTGATAGCTAATCATATTTTGAAAAACGTTTTCCGATTCTTTCAAAGGAGAAATCATTTTCCTGAATTTAAGCTTTGGTAAGGAAACATTTTCAGTTGACTAGGAGAACACTCTCCGTTGACTCATTTTCCTAAGCAAACCAAACGCCGGAAAATGAAAAAAGTGTTTTCCTGAAAAATGTTTTCCGCAAAACAAACACACCCTAAGGCTGTGTTCGTTTGCGGAAAAATATTTTTCCGGAAAATGTTTTCCATGGGAAAACATTTTCTTTCCCCACCCCCAAATCCTTCATTGTTTTGAGGAAAATGATTTCCTCTTTTCACAAAGAGGAAATCATTTTCCCCCAAATTGAAGGCAAAATTGCCCATGGGAGGGAAAATATTTTCCGTGGGAGAGGAAGTTGATCGCCGGTCACCACCGTTGCCCGCCGGTCGCGGCCGCCCGCCGCCACCGTCGGCCGCCCGCTGCCGCCGGTCGCCGGTCTCCGCCGCCGCCGTCGCGGTTGCCGGTGAAAAATATTTTCCGAAACTTTTTCATATTGGTCGCCGAACACCGGAAAATTATGTTCGGGAAAATATTTTCCAGGAAAATGACTTCCAGGGAAAATATTTTCCAAAAGGAGAATATTTTCCGCCAAACGAACTGAGCCTAAGTTCAACCAGATAAATAGTTCAACAACCATGTCGGTCAAGAACTCTGAACATGCTAATTGCATTCGACACATAGGCAAACACGAACGAGAGCACATGAGGCACTAAAATGTTTAGTGCAACACAACAGTTAGGCCGAACAAGAATGAACACGTTGTGGACAGTATCTGGAATATTTCCTTTCAGGTATTGCATTTTCAGTGACTTGTCACTGACAGGAGAAGGAAACTTGTGAAATGTGAAGCTGAAACAAGAGTACGACTGCATTTCTTTCTTTTTTTTTTTGGCTAGAGAGTAGGTTGAAAATTGGGGATCGGATATTTCTGCATTCAATCCAAGTCCCGATCTTTTGAAGCATGAAAAAGTTAGAATTACAAGTTCACGCAGCAGGGAAACAGTTTGTGTGCGTGCCCATGAGACAGAAATATCATGTCAAACTGTCTATTTCAGTGGCCATTCAGAGGAAGACACTTCCCAGATCTACCTTTCCAGAAAGCTAAGTGGGTCGTTTCGGATAGAGCATATCATAGTGACCCGGGCGATACAGCAAAGTGATGGAAGGCTCACCAGCGCCAGAACTGCTGGAAGAGACGTTAGGAATGAAATCGTGGTGATTTACGCTGACACCACCCTTATCACATGAGCTGCGGTCTAGATACACAACGCGAATCGGCACGCCCAGCGCATCGGATATAGCTATAATGTGCACATGATCACTTTCTTCACCCATAGGCTCCACGGAGGACTTGCAAAACTGCGATACAAGACCAAAAAATATCAACCACCGGGACCAAATATGCGTAATCAGATGCAGTACTCAACACGAAACTGCGGTCTATGAGGGATACAACTACGTGAAACTTGTCATACACAACCAGCACAGAGAATTAAGAGTTAAAGAAGCACAGCGCGGCACCCCTTTCCAATCACATGTTGACTTCCTAAAATAAGTAGCACTAATATTCACAGAGAATGCCATGTCCAAATTGTTTCAATTTGGACGAAATGAATTAAAAAAGATAATGCAATTTAAAATCAGAATCTGGGCAAGTTTGTTAATAACCTGCTAAAAAAAAATATCTGAAAAAAAGGGAAAAAAGAGCATTCTTTGAATAAATTCAACTTGTCACAATCAAACTTAACAATTACTCACTTACCAACTAAAACTACCCCTCCCCCAGAGAGAGAGAGAGAGAGAGAGAGAGAGAGATTCATGCATCCATGAACAATTCAGAAAAAAGTGAATAAATATAATCAAACCTGCTCCACAGTTGTATTTGCTAATCCCATAATGAAGGGTTCAAAGAACTCCGACCGCTTGCGTATCTCAGCAGAGGTAACAAATCTGAAGAACATCACCACTGGCCAACCAAATACATCAAGAGATAAATCAAATGCCAATTGGTTTAATACCTCAATTTTCTCAAAACTCACCATAGTCCGATACCGACTGATCTCGACTCCTAAGAAGCAGTTCATCATGACTGAAACAAAAAGCACAACATGCACTTGCTTATACTTTTTAACATATGTGTAAGTCCATCATTAAATTCTTTTCTTCCTAGATGAAATCAAAATGTTCAACAAAAAGATAAGGCCACCTTATTGAAGTTTCATTTCCTTGAAGAACACTTTCCAACTGTTCCAAGAATAGCTGAAACAATTTCATATCAAACATTCAGCCACAACATGGTAAAGATAAAAAAGAGACATCCAAGATACTCTGCTTGATATCAATTCGACACATGATTTAGATGAATAAAGATGTCAACTTTCTCATGTACTAAAACTAAGCATCTTCCACAAAAGGTGACGTCCACCAACCTCAGCATCAAAATTCAAGTCTAAAGTTAGTAACTTAATACTACTGAAAATATTTATCTTCATTTCTACAATAAGTGCATAATGAATATAAAAAATCGTTATTATAAGTGCACTGTACGCAATAATTTTCTGCTAAGCTAGGATATATCTGAAGAAAGGATCATCTAATGGTCAATTACAATGGAGACAAGAACCCGCCTATTCAGTTTTCCTTCAGAAGTAGTGACAGGCCCTAAAAATGTTACAGTGGCTTGCATTCAGCACTAGAAGTAAAGATTTAGAATCTGAATTTGGTTAAGAGCTAACAATCTGATCTATTAGGGGGAAACTTTGGAGGAGAAATGGGTAACAAAACTAAAATATTAGAGATTGTGCTACCTAGAAATATGCTCTTTAATGGAACTTTCGATGTAGTTGGCCGAGAGCAAGAAACAAAAGGTTTCCCAGCCCAACCAATACAGAGTAATCAGTAATCACCACCACTACGATGCCTCCGTCACTGCCACTCCAAATTATCCATCATCTATACCACCACTTCCATTACTTTTGAAGCTTCGCTGCCACCACCACGCCACAGCCACTTTCCATCACTACCACCACCATCAACACTCCATAACTGCCCAACAACCACTTTGCAGATGCAAAAATGCCAAAACCCCAACAATTGGGCATCAATGCTTGGCTTTTGACCCACAGCTGATGTTTTAAACTGACTAAATAAAAAGAATCATGTTGACTCATCATGTTCTAACACCATCACTATTTTCTCATTGAGCTTATCCTCATGCTTGTATATCACCCATAATGTCATGGATTGACAAACCAGCGAAAGACGCGATAGACGCATTATAAACTGTTTCAAGACTATTTGAGTTACCCATTTTCCTGGAACCAGCAAACTTGAGTTAAGAAATAGGTCCATTCTTACCCAAAAAAAAAGGTCCATCACAAATCTTGCTGCCTCTAAGTTTAAGTATAGAGAATCTCAAAACAAAGATTTTTAAAAGCTACAGAATATTAACTAAACCTTGTTTCTATGGAAAAATGTCTAATCACAATACTTCCAAGACAGGCTTTCAGACAGTGATTCAGGAAACAGCAATGCACAATTAGAGCAAAACGGTTGCAGTTCAAACTATATGTGTCCATAAACAGAATCTAGGTTTCTTGATAGGCATGTTTCACGTTGGCAAAGAAATCGTCATTCCACCTTCCCACGAACAGAATACTTGCTGGAACTTCTCCACGTCATCCCTTACTGTGGATACTAGCCAACTCCTTATACTGACTCCATGTTGTTGAAAGGTGGACTCAATTAAAAGGTAAAACTTACAAGTTTTCTTTCATTGTCATTCTATAACAGCCTAGTAAAATCAGCAGACCAACAGAACCCAAACAGCAATACATAACCATTTTCAAGCCACAGACTAGATTTATTAGCGTCCAAAGCTGGCTCACAGTTTGCAATGGTATGCATGTATATGAAAATTGGAGAGATCACCAGAACTTACATCATGCATAATGTACAAATTGCAAGGGCAATTGAATTACCGCAAAAAAATCCTCAAAAGTGAAGTCCACATAACCCAAGCTTTGAAGAGTTCTTCTACACTCTTCAACATTAGCTTTAATACGATCCACCTCAGATTTGTCTTGTGTTTCCAAAATATGCTCCTGAAACATCCAATTAGGAATGAATATATAAAACAAAAGGCACAATCCAATCCACTTTCCTAAAACATCAATTGATTAAAAGCCATTACAGAAACAAAAAATCCTCAAGAGCTATACTGAGACTTACAAGATACGAGAACATAAAGCTTCTAAAGAAACAGTTTCCATCTCCTCGTGTTCTCCTGATGGCAGCATATTGTTCATCAAGCACCTGCATTTAAGGATATAAAAGTTCAAGGAAAAATTAAAATAAGGAACAAGATTCTACAAGAATACCACGGAAACCTTTATCTTCTCCAGCAAAATAGGGCTCCCTGATTGATACTCAGCTGCTAAAGCAGAAAGTGGTTCCTGCAGATTAATACCAATAAACTTATTTATGAGCATACAAGAATAGTACCAGACAAATCAACGCAAAGGTTAGCAGACAACCAACACTCCATGGACATGATGGGCCATGAAGGGTTAGGTCTGCAGTCCACAGTGTAAGTGTGTCACCAAGCACAGAAGATATTTATATCGCAATCACACTTAGGTGGAACATATGCTGTTAGTCAACATATGCGGACTACTGCAGTGTCATCAATACTTGAGTCAGTCTAGACTATTAGGCGCAGTTGGCAGTTAATTTCAACAATGCCATGAAGTTCAAAACTAACTTAATCATTGAAATGTTGAATTCTCCACAATCCACAAAGGAAAGAGCAAGGTAGCAACTGCATATATAGCAAAACTTGCATGAAACAACAGGAGAAGAGCAACAAATAACCCATGACCTGGACAGGACAGAGATATTTACAGAAGGAAAGGTCGCTTGAGCGCAGGTGATATTATATTTGGTGGCCACAGAATCACCAAATGACTGTTAAGAAGATCGTCAGAGTGTGAGGACCAAAAATTGATGGATACAAGCGTGCAAAAATTGCATGACAAATAGGAAAGCCACGACGAATAACTGCATGGCCTCGATTAAAGAATAATGTTACTGCTACAAAGTCCACATGAACAGGACAACCAATCAATCATAAGAGAACATGAATTGCCAATGTAGTTACGGCAATATAAAAAGAACTCACAAAAGATAAATCCAGCGATTAAGGAATACAATAGCTGCACAAAACAATAGGAAGCAATCGGCAATAATTGCACGACCGAGATAAAGCGAGAACATCATCGAAACAAAGCTCACACGAGCAAGAGTATAGTTGTGACACAAAGAACCAGAACCGCCAATCTACTATGTAGCAGTAACAAGACAATCTGTTAAATACAGGTATTCAGCGATCAAAGGATGCACATATAACAAAGGTGACGTTTCAAAAGTGCTAAGGCTGGTCACACCTTGTCGCCCACATACGGAGTTTTCTCAGCTTCCACGGCATGGATTTCATTCTTCTGATGCATGATGTCCTCGTCAGCGAAATTCGACCACGCGAAACTGTCGGACGGCGGAACTTCCACGGACGAGTCCGCCTCGTCATCGCGACCGTGTCCTTCCGGATTCGTCATTGTATCCCTACACGTCGAAGCCAAGAAACAAGTTCCCGATCCGATCAAAAATCACTTCAAACAACAAGCCGAGACACCACACGGGCGTCGCGACGGCCTCAGCAATCTCGGACTCGCGCTTCCGATACACAATCAACAATCTAGCATCATGACTTCACTCCACAGTGGAATCAGACTACCGAAACTGCGGACTTCCGATCCGAGAAACGACGAGGACGCACGAGCGGCGGCGAAGGCCCTCGCCGGAGGCTCGAATCGCGATTCTCCGGCGGGAAATTCCGCCGCGAGCGGGCGGGCGGGCGAAATCGAAAGCGGAAAACGAGAGGGCGCGAATCGTGTGCTCCAACCTGTGCGGTGAAGACGGATGCGAGATCGCCGCAGCTTCTCTCCCTCTGGATTGCGCCTGCTTCGGCGACGGATCGAGCGAGAAATGGAGCGCGAGATCTCGAATTCGAGAGCACGGAGCACCAGAGAGAGCTTGGAGGTTCTGGGGTTTTTTTTCTTCTTTTTCCTTTTTTTTTTTTTTGGGGGAAATTTCGGATTTTTATGAGTGCGACCTGAGAGCGAACTTGGCTTTTGAAGAGGATGACGGGAATTTCCTCATTTTTTCGCCTATCTTCCGGGGGGATTGGTGCTTCGCGCGTGCGCTGCACTCGCGCTGGAGCGCGTGGGATCCAGGTAGCACCGATGGGGTGCAACGCGGTAACTGCCCCCGATATTACCAGCAACGGCATTCGTTTCTTATGAAGATGGATTTACGCAAAAGGGATTTTTCTATTTGTATTCTTTTTTCCTCCTAAAATTTCATGAGTAATGGTATTAATTTTTGAAATTATCTTAAAAAATTATGCAGATTACATACAATTATGTCCAGATCAAAGTGTGGGTACCGCAAATACGATAAGTTAAAAAGTAAAAAAAAGTTACGCATTGGATTTTTGTTGAAATGATTTAGAAATCTATATATTTCAGTGCATTGGATATCCTGTGTTATTGGGTAATTCGTATTTTGAATATAAATATTTTTTTTTGTTAAGTATGTTCTGATGAGTATAGTACTGGTATGGACACTTGGTAGCAGTGCGCTTGCTAAAAAAATACCTAAAAAATTGTTTTCCGAGCATTTTAATACAAGCATTTTGCTTATTAATGCAAGTATTGATATTTCCAAGCATTTTACTTGGAAAATTAAGATATTTTTCTAATTTGAATAGTGAAGAAATATTTAAAGAACGTGTGTAATCAAATTCATTGCAAAAATGATTATTTTGAATCTAACTTGAATGACAGAGATCCAATTCATCCAAGTTTTGATAGTACAAGGAATATACGATTCATCACGACGGTGAAATGATAACGATGAAAAGACAATGGCCATAAGAGAGAGAAATGATTGATGAATTGGAAAAATTAAGAGGACAACATGAAAAGTAGCGGATTGGTCCACATGCAAGTTGATCTATCAACTTTAATTTTGTTATTTTCTTCCTTGTTTTAAGTCGAACGATTTGATCCATGTGGTCGAGTTAGTTCCGCCTGCATTTATAGTGGCGATTCGAGGCAATCGTAAGATTTGCATTTATCAATATGGCTATCGACAAACGTTGGAAATTTTTTATGAAAACGAGAAATTTATCTAGAGAACAGTGCAAGAAGAAAAGAGGGAGGAGCACGTCCAAATTACTCATAGTGTGATATCCAACGTAATGAAAAGTCGTCGAAATTAAGTACAAAAATATGGGGACATGCCGTAAAATTGTTTTACGGTTTTTTTTTTTTTCGGTCGGAAAATTGTTTTTACGACTTCGCAAATGCAAAAACAACATTAACTCAAGCCCAAGTTCTCTTTGACCAAAAAAAAAAAAGAAGCCCAAGTTCTCCAAGTGGGCAGTCAAGATGAACATTGGTATGGCAGAGCCCATTAGCGAGCCTACAAACACTGATCTTTTCATCAATTTTCCAACGCAGGACTTGTTCCAAATGCCTTTAACGTTACGAACTACACTAACAAAAGAGACATGTAACCTCGTCCCGCAAAAAACGAAAACGCAATGCATTGCTCAGCAGCACTTCTTTCAGTATATATGTCCGTGTAAAAACGCACACAGCACGTCTGAAACCATCACTTTTGCCATGCGAAGCATTACATCATCGGATGATCGGAACCCGGACTTGATGTGATTCAAGATTGAGGTGGGGGTAGGATTGCATGATCATGGTGGAGCGAACATTATCTCGCGGTGTTTGTGATTTCGTCTCTTCACTTTTCAACGAACTTAAAACTCAGAGACATCCTTCTGTTTATGTTGCATGTGCGGTTCAATAACCTTGAAAAAGCAAGTTTATCCACAAGGGTCTTGATCCTTCGGATTCCAACGAAAGAATATCCACTATTGGATTGGATCAAACTAGAAAACTGATTGAACGAATTAACAGGTAATTTGCTAAGCTCAGCCGAAAGTTATTGTTCCCAATATAAACTTACCCAACGATATAATCACAAGTTAATGCTTACTGATAAGTACAAATCGCCGTTATAATGGAAACTTTATTAATCGCAGTTAAGATAGCAATGCATTATTTGTATTGGGTGTACGAGTCTGATGGGCCCGTGTTGGCCCATTCCATGGCCCAAATTTGGGTTGATACCATGAGTTGTTACTTCACATTCGGACCATTTGAGCATGCATTGTGAAATGTTCCAAAGGCCTCCCTCTACGAGTTTTGTAATTTGAATTGTTAATTAATCTCCCAAAATTATGACTAGTCATTTCAACATTGATAAATGTGGCTTGGTTGAAAAATACGTCTCTTGTATATCATAGAGTAATTTCTTTTATTATTACTCGAAAAGAAAATTTGCTTGGTTTTTCTCCCCTCATTTCTCGGTGAGAGCGACGATATTTTGTTTTGGGGATTATGTGTAATTGGATATCATTGAAAGATACAAATGTTGAGACCGATCGAGTATGTTTAACTTGAAAAACATGACTTACCATCTATTTATGTCTAGATTCATTTATTTATTCCGTTTTGATCACTCTATTGAAAATGAAACAACAATAGCTATGGGACGAGCAAAAGAAGACAATTTTATAGTAATTTGATTTTTTTGTGCCGCTTAGAAAAGTGGGCGAGAACCGCAAAGAATGGAATTTTAAATGAATAATTCTAGGGATAAAAATTGATTTATATTAATTTTGTACTTTTACTTTTTACACCAAAAGCTAAGGTATTAATTTTCTTGCCAAAAATTAACTACTATTCAAAATATAAATTTCGAAAAACTTAATATGAGTATAAACATAGATAATCATATGCATAGTATTGAGATGCATGTGTAGGTTGTGTTAAAAAAACCCATTACGGAGAATTGATGTGATGTAGAAAGATGAATATATCCTAGTTGCCTCATAACTCAATGACTTAAGTTTTTGAGTGAAGGTGGTCCAATCAAATATACTAATGGGTTCGGATTTGGGCACCCTCTTGGTGATCTCCTCGAATGAAGGTATCGGGCTTCTGTTGCACGCTCACAACAAATGATATCAGAGCTTATGGTAGATTGGTGGGCCCCCAATGGCAAACTTCATGGTTCGGTCTTCCGCTGCGCGGTTTAATAAATGATATTAGAGCCGATGGTAAATTAATGGGTCTCAATGGCAGACTTCATGGTTTGGTTTCTAGTGATGATGTTGGGCATTGATGGATATTCAAGTTGAGATAGCTTGATACAAAATGATACCACTTGATCTGTCTAATGGCAGACTTAATAATGTTGGACATTGATGGAGATTCAAGTTGAGATATTTTGGAGAAAGAGATTAGAGATGATGTTGGGCATTAATGAGTTGAGATATTTTGATACAAAAGGAGACCGCTCGGTCTGCCTGATGGCAGACTTCATGGTTTGGTATTGACAAAGAGGCTAGGAATGGAGTTGGGCAGAAAGAGTTTTACGTGATTTGGTCAAAGTGTCGGTACTTACTCCACACAGAGAGATAGCCACAAATTATCCACTAGCTAAATCGGACAATTTCAGAGGTATAACCACTCACATGTTCAAGTGTTCCACACTTAAAATACACCAAAATTTACGGTGTTTAGCCTCACAGAGATAAAATCTGATTCCACACTTAAAATACACCGAAACTTACGGTGTTTAGCCTCACAGAGATAAAATCTGATACTCCTATGATTTGCTCTAGTGTATTTGATATATATAATTCCTATCAGAAAAGGAAACCCCCTTTTTTTAGGAAATCCGCTCAAGCTAAAGATACATTCTCAACACATTGGCATCCGAACATTCAATCAATAAATATAAACCGAATTCAGATGCCAATAAAAAAAAAAAGGTAGAGATAAAAGATACTCCGAGCAAGCAAAACTGCGAGGCGATGGGGAAGCCTTCTGTCGCGTCCGCGAAGCTGAACACGAAACCCATGTAAATACCACGTTATTAATTAAATCAAGTACTCAATAGCGAAAGAGATTGAGCTGATGATGTCATTCATTACGTGGAAATCGTTCATAGCAAGGGCGACCAGCGCTCTGGGGCCACGCAATCCGCGAAAGGCAGAGATGTGTTTGGCGGTTCGGCACAGCGACGCTGGGTCAATTTTTCCTCCGAGTAATCTTCGGATTGCCTTAATTTTCAACACAGCCCATGTCAGCAAATGTTAGAACAGGCTTCATATAAGAAAGGGCTTCCATAAACGAAGAAAAGTGCAGAACCTTAACGATAGACTTTTCTTTTCGGAGAGAGAGAGATTTATAGGTTATGTGGTGTAAATACTCATAAAGGGTGAAGACACAGAGTTAGGTTACAAGATTAGTATGTAAAAGTACTTAAAGAGCGTAAGGGCAGTTTTGTCATTTTCCACCGAGGGGTTCATTTCCTATGGCCTTTTGATAAGTTAAAAGAGGGAGGCGTAGTTGCGATCTCCAATGGGTGTTATCATAAGGGTCCCAATGCCTGCTACGAAACGTTCGGATTGCAATTCACGTCCTTCAATAAAATAGCTGCTGGAGTGTGTATAAACAAGAGCTAGGGGCATCTTTATCGAGCGGCGGCCGCCACATAGATGCCAACAAGATCTAAATCAGAAAACATGTGTGGGGAATAAGAGGAACGAACTGGGACGATATCGCATCTATCGAAAGCGCATAAGATGTGGGGTGTGACAAAATTAAGGTCGAAAGAAGAGAACTATCGGACATGCCCCGCCCTCGATTAGTCAGTCACATGTTACTACTCCTATAAAACAATATATTTTCACATTCTTTTGGTAACCAAACCTTTTGTATTTCGTGAATTTCTATAACAAGATTAGTTTCAGCTGTTGAAATTCGAAATAGCACTAACAACAGCTTTCTTCATGCCACTACTCTCGAGCTCCACATATAGGCAGCGGATTGTCTAGTTGTCTCAAGCAGCCGGATGAGAGGAAAATTGTCCAAAAATGACCTAAATTTATTGTATGGATGCTAATTCAGTCATAAATCTTTTAATTATGCCAATTTAGTGATGATTTGCCAATTTA